ATATGTATAACTCAGATTACTCACATCATTATATGTATAACTTCAGATTACTCACATCATTATATGCATATGTATATTATATGAAATCTGGTCATTTTTTTTTAAAGGCTACCATGAAAACAATGAAGTCGGACACTAATATTGTACTATTTTACATAAAGGGCAGGAATAGTTTCTTTTTCAGGATTCCACACAATTATTGGAGCCATTCTTTACCATAAGTGACATTTCTATTATGACAGTTGCAGGAAATACTGATTAGCTGATTAAAATTCTTTTATGTTCTGAAAAATATCAACGTGCGTTTTCGAGTTCTTTGGACACACATCACATGACCACCATCCTTGAATGCCTTTTCATCATTCATTTCAAGCATAGTATGCAAACAAAACTTAAAATCAACTGTTCATCAAAATACATGAGAACAGGATTTTATGAGCACTATTTTCAGCATTCTTTCTTCCAGGCTACCAATTTCTTCCTATTCCCATGTCTTTAAGACAAAATAAAATAAAACTTTGGAATACAATTTGCAAAACTATATATATATTACATAAAGCAAATTATAATAAAATAGAATTCCAACCAATAGCTTTGGAATTCCACAAATCCTGTGAGCACGTGAACAACTACTGTCTTGTTCATTCACACACTTAGCTTCACACCAGCACAGTGATCCACAAATCCTGTGAGCACGTGAACAACTACTGTCTTGTCCATTCACACACTTAGCTTCACACCAGCACAGTGATCACTTATTTTAGTTTTGGTTAATTTAAGCCCAATAAGATTGTTTTAAAGAGTTAAAAAATTCAACTAAAAATTACATAAGAAACTAAAGGTATGGTACATGGCTTAATAAAATTTGATATGATATACAGGGTGTCCATGAATTATTTAACCTCCTTGTTAACTGAACAGAATAGGAATACCACCAAATTAATGGTTGTAGGCTGTGGAGATTGATGTGTGAAGTTTTTCTCACTAGATGGGGTATGTGAAGGACATTGTCTACAAAGCAAAGGTACGTATAGACAACTCTGTGGGCACGAATAACTGATTCATTTGTGACTAGTACATCTGAACATTCTTCTAGCCAAGAAGGGTGCACATTTCAAGGTGTACTAATGGAGCTACTGGTTTTATCCTCTATTATACCACAAACTGCAATTATCTTAAATAGTTCTCATTTTATTCAATTAATAAATCTGTTCAACAATTTATGAACACCTTAAATTTTTCAGAGGAAAAAAAAAGAACAATCTTTCCTACTATCTCACATTTACTTACTCATTTATTAACTGTTTTTTTCTTTTCATTTAGTGTGTACATGTATTGTTAAAAAGATATTCACAAGAATTCTATAAATTGAATACCAGTTTAAGACTTAACAAACAATGTATGAATAATAAGGTATCATAAAAAATACAATACATTTCACATTTACTTTACCTTTGTAGGTAAATGACACAAATACTGACCATTGCATGACCATATGATGAACGTTTAGGGTTATGTTTTCCTGTTTGTGCAGCTGCAATAACGTAGCATTGCGTTTCTATGGCTCGAGATCGAAGTAGTGGCTGTAAAATTTACAACGGACAGATTTGTTTAGTATTAAAATCAAAATCCAGTAAAATATAAGTTTAGAATAATATTATACTAGGAAACTTAATGACATATTCTGAAAAAAACTATGAAAAAAAATAAAGGTGCTTATTTACAATAGTAATAAGTTATAACCTTTTCTATTATCCAGCAAGAAAATTAACAAAGAAAACATTTACCTAATTAATAGAGGTAGCCAAAATATCCTTATAACTGGTACGCGTTGCTAATGTTCTGTTTATGCACATAGGTAGAGGCCAAAGCGCACATGCCATGACCATTTACAGAGTGCCATTCAACATGGTATTATGTTGCTGTCAGAGTTATCAACTATTAATTTTATCGCACACTGCTGATTTAGCAACAGTTTGTGGTAGAGGAGGGTAAATGTCAGATCCAATATACATGGATACTGAAATAAAACTGCAGATATGCATTTTGGAGGTTCTAGGGGTTATACAATTACAATATGCAAACTAAACAATTGACAAAAGTATCTTTATTTTACACATGAACATCACCTTACACTTTTGACTCATCAGAGTCTAAGACAAACTAACATTGTCAGTTCACAGATATATTTTGAGAACAAACACTTTTGTAACTTGTTCTCATTTTTTGTGTGCACCAGACTCGTAGAATATCCTGCTTGCAAAATAAAATTTGGCATACACATTAATCATGCCTGTTCCCCCATCATTTCAAAAGTGAGTGTTGAGCCTTACATGTATGTGCAGCTTTTCAAATGCAAAGTGGTTGCCATAAACAGGAGACAGATGAATGCTTGGACGGACACCACGGTTCACAATATATATAAGATTATAGTATTTTAGCACTTGTGTACAAAGTTAAAATCATAAATAATATTCAATGTTAAACTAGTACACAATTAAAAACATTTTATTTAAGCCTATCTATGGCCTTCAAAAAGTTGATGACTCTACATGTTTCGACGTTACGCTCCTGAGGATGACCTGTATACTAAATACCCCCTGTATACTACAAAATGTTGACAAATATAATTATTCAACATCATTCAAGCATTTTCGATGACGAGGAACCCACTTTGAGACTAATAATGGCTGGAGACGGTTTGAATGGGTAATGAAGAAAAACTTAATATAAGTTATATTAACTTATATTAGTTTTCTTCATTACCCATTCAAGCCATCTCCAGCCATTATCATTCAAGCATGTTATTACAAATAGGATCACAAGTAAAACTGGAAACTGTGAAGTATGTACTTCTTACACCTGTAAGTAAATACTTACATTAATATAACAGAAACAATACTTTAATATATAGTTTGGGTCAGAATCTCTTTCATGCAATGGCTTTAAGATGTTGTTATTCCTTAAATGACACAGCAACATACACTGTATAAATATTTGCATAAGAAGTTGGTTCAAACCCATACAAAGTGCATTTTAAAATTTTCACAGTACTGCAGTTATAAAATATTCATGTGCTTGGAAAGTTAGTAACCAGAAAAAAAAGTTTTAGCTACTTATCCACTAGGGTATCAGTGTTTAAAAATGTTGAACAGAAACAAAATAATGAATATTTAGAGCAATTTCATAATAACAAACTTAAAAATTACACTGAAGTACTGTTTGGAAACTGTGTCAGAGGAAAATTAAAAGGAAACCTAATATATATATATCCCTTTGTGTATGCAAGCACATTATGATAATACTATCAAACAACGACTCGTAAGCACAATGACATTTACCACAGAAAACGTACTCCATGTTTTAGCCGTACCTTGGTCTGTCTTCTTTAGGTATTTTTGTACACTAAATATCACTGTACTCATAAATGTGTGTTCATTTCCTACTGAAGCCATACTTAAATATTTTTCAGGCCATTGACTATTTTCACACATTTCATTCATACGAAACTAATTTTTTGTGGCACGTAAAAGTTAAATAAATACAAATTTTATAAAAACCGTAAATACATGTGATTATGAGCATCACCTACTTCCCAATGTGCTAGTCCTGTAGTCTGAGTAAATGCAGATGGATATGTCAAGATTTCTGCTCCTGATTTGGCCAGGAAGAGTGAAAATTCTGGGAAACGTAGATCATAGCACTAAAATTTTCGCGTTAAGAATAAATGTAATAAAATTGATACTTTTGAGGTTTTTTTTTGCAAATAAACACTCTATTACACACACACACGTACTAGATGTTTAATAAAAATTATTTTTAATTCATATCATTTTTTTAAAGGTAAACCATTTTACATAGAAAAAAAAATTGAACATTTTGGAAATTTTTTGGTGTAACTCAGAGACTGTGTAAAGTATTAATGTCAAATTTTTAATGTATAACAAAGATACTACGGGTACAATGTTCTTCTGTAAATTATTTACCGTTACATCTAACAAGATTCTTTCTTCTTTATTAAAGATTCCTGATACTAAAAATTACCCAAACATTTCCTAAGGTTATATGACAACATGAAGAATATTTTTTAAGCATTAATACAAGGTTTAAGGAACAGTATCACACAACAGAAGATTACTGAACAAACTGAGTTTTTTTTTAAATGACACTTACAAGTTAGAGTTATTTGACAGGAGAGCTAAATATTAGACAATTTAAAGAAGCTGTGAAACAACGAAGCTAGACAACATTACAAATAAATTCTAATCTTACTTTTCGTATTAACATTTCACCATACTTACTTATTTACAAACTGCTTTGTATGGTGAATAGTTAATGTAATATAAATGCAGATAGCAGTTTGTAAATAAGTAAGTATGGTGAATAGTTAATGTAATATAAATGCAGTTACTTATTTACAAACTGCTATCTGCATTTATATTACATTAACTATTCACCATACTTACGTATTTACAAACTGCTATTTGTATTTATATTACATTAACTAAGAATGAGTATTTTGGAGATAACAGCTTAGTCATTATAATAGTTGCTTTCTCACAGGATCAACAATAGTGTGCTTCAGTGTTATGAGGACTTCAGTTAATTAAATACAAATGTAAAATAAATTTGTAGCTCTAACATGCATTGAAAGTAGTCCACAAAACAAGAATATGCAGCTACATTGTGTCAGATACAGATGAAAGAATTGTGTGGTCAATATTTTGGTCAAATAACTTTTATTGGGGAACTTTAAAGGTCATTGAAATACTTATAACCAAATTATTTTCCTAACAGTGATTCTAACCTTTCTTTTCTAATTTGGAAAATATTATTTTTCATTAAACTATACAAGTACATTAAATATGACAGATGTTTATATTGAAAAATACCCAATTTAACATACCACGGATAAGATTTTTATAACACCTATCTAACTTAAAACTTGATAATTAGGCTATCTATATAAACATACTTTTGGAAACATTGCTCTAAGGAAAGAATATTTTGTTTGTTAACTATCTGTGCAAAATTCACACGCTTTGAGTTATTTATATGTGAAAAGACATAAAATCTTAATACTTCAGATTACAAGAAACTACAAATATATATATAGAAAAACAAGTCTGGGAGTACTGTATATAAGAATTATTGCCAATTTTAATGGCACTTACGCTACATTTTCATACTCTGATTTACTTATGTTTACAAAATTTAACATTTAAATGGATAAAAATGTAATGCATGTCTGTAACAAATCTACTTAACAACTTATGTCATTTGCTAATGCACATGGCTAACAATATGCTTACATGACAGTTAAAAATTTACATAATGTTTTATCATTCTTGTTTGCTGATGGCCAACAATGTGTGTACTTAGCAATATGCACTTAATATTTTATGTGATCTGCAAATATATACAGATAATAGTACGTTGCATTGGTAATTAAAAATTAACTTAATGTTTTACCTTGTCCGTATGACCAACATTGTGTATATACATCAGTAATAAATACACTTAATATTTAATTTAGTCTGTCTGTGACAAGGAATCCAGAAGAACTGAAAATTACTGGCATATATTGCGTATGTGTATATAACAAAACAGAGAATGTGCCATGGCTTCAATCAACATTGAATATTTACAATTTGTTCAATGATGAAAAAAACTGATGTTGATTTTCTTAGGCTTTGCTTTTTTTTTGGTGAACATTAGCTGATATCTTACAATTATTACTATTAAAATAAATTATTCAAGCACTAAAATAAGTAACAAATAAAAAGACTGTGCATCAAAATAAATTTCACTTATTTTTAGGTAGTTTTAGGCACATCATAATTTATCACTAAGATCAGATCATCAGTGTTAACTTTCACTTTAAAAATATAAAATTAAGTTACAAAAAATAAATATTTGTAAAACATTTACAGTCTGGTAAGAGATTTCACAAGCTATTGTTACAATACACAGTTTTAAATCGAAAATGAAAAAAAAAAGGTTATAATGAACTTTATATATTTATGCAACAAATCAGTATAAGAGAAAGGATACAATTCCTAAGCCTATTTTTCCTACAGGTGAATCAATAGGAGGAACCAATTTTTCTCCAGGTATTGTATAGTCAGATTCTCGAATAGAAATAATGCCTGGCAGCTGGACACTGAAGAGATGAGTCTTGTGGTAAAGCTCCACAATTTTACCTGCATTACTGATGATAATATGTGCATTTTGTACTCTTTTGGCATCTGATTCTGGTCCCTGCATATATAAAGTATTGAATATTATTACAAATAATCAAAAATACTAAATGCACCACAAATGCATGATATCAAAAACATGTTTTTAAAGCATAATAACAAAAGGTTTTCCCTGTAATATCAATAAAATTCTGGATAGATAGATGAAAATATTTTATTTAAATTCCAAAAGGGCTAAAAAAACTAAGTAATGTTTAATTTTTAATCATTTTAGATTTAGCTTTCATTTCAGAAATAACTATTATACAACAATATTAACTCCTTAAACCTGAGCAGACGCTGCCAGCATCTGGTTGGAAATCCTGATTTACCCATTGGATGGTGACAGCATCTCATAAAATTTATGTCTCTTTGACTGAAAACTAATCCAAAGCATGTTATTATCCACAAAATTAAGAAAATTGAAATTTTATAAGGTATGGTAATAATAATTAGGAAATCATGAAAATGATTCCGGCGGAATACACAAGAAATTACGGGTTTAAAGAGTTAAGTGTATACATATTCTCTTTAACGGAACATACAGAAAAATAGATCTCTTTTTAAGGGCATTATAAAATCTTATGAAAGAACTCTTCTAAATAGCCTTAAACACCAAATAGGTTATCTTAGCAGAAGAATCAATTCCAACGGAATTACTTACTGACCTGATAAAGTAAAAGACAAGATTATAACTACACTTTTTAAAAATATATATATGAATATTAATTTAAATGTCATTTTTATAGGTCTATCAGTCTACACGAATATTCTCGTATCTCCACTAATATCGTCATCATTTTGTGAAATAAAATCAAGAGCAGGCCTTTATATAACGCTCTACGAGTACTTAAATGAATTACAAAACATTATGATGGAACTAGGGTAATGATTTGTGTTTGTTTGTTTGTAATTAAGCACAAAGCTACACAATGGGTTATTTGTGCTCTGCCCACCAAGGGTATCGAAACTTGGTTTCTAGCGTTGTAAGTCCGTAGACATGCCGCTGTGCCACTGGGGGGGGGGGGCATTTGCAAAGAATTTAATCAACCTTATTTGGTGAATACTTATAATTTCAATACAGACATACTGCTGTGCCACTGAGGGGCTAGGGTAATGATTCCTAATATCCAGACACACACAAGTCCAAACTGTAGAGCAAGAAAATTGATGTAAAAAATAGGAAAAATAAGTTGAGCACAGTGAAAAGATATGACAGCGTTTGAAGTAACATCAGCTTGTGAAAATGTACACATCACACTAATGGTTAGCTAGATCAATATGGAAGAGCCAATCACATGGTTTACTCTTGTCATAAGTTAGTTTAACAGTGTTATGATAAAATGTCAGAATAAAGGAATTGGAGTGAGTAATTTACTTTAACAGTGTTATGATAAAATGTCAGAATAAAGGAATTGGAGTGAGTAATTTACTTTAACAGTGCACTTAAATATCAGTTTTTTTTCAGTAGATTCTATATATAAAGGTGTTGTCTATAAATCAAACACTATTTCTTATCATTCCTTGGTTGATAGAAATCCCAATAAACAGATGAAAGGTGAGCTCTTACAAGATTGACCATCCTCCATTTTCTAATTTTAGGAGATAACAGAAGACAACCCGTGATGAATTCAAATTTGGTGACGAGGAACCCACTTTGAGACTAATAATGGCTGGAGACGGCTTTAATGGGTAATGAAGAAAAACTTTAATATAAGTTTAACATAACAGCAAATGTACAAGGTTTTGTTTTCATCACTTGTACCTGATGATGACAAAACCTTGTTGAAACGTTGTACATTT